ATGATTAAATTGGTATGTACTGATGTCTCCCTCAACAGGCACTATGGACTGTCCATTGTGTTGTTCACCTTTGGCCTGGACTCTATACTGATCTTCATCTCCTATGTACTCATCATGTGATCAGTGCTGGCCATTGCCTCTCAGGAGGAGCTCCTCCACACACTCAACACATGTGTGTCCCACATCTTAGCTGTGCTCATCTTTTATGTGCCCATGGTTAGTGTGTCCATTGTGAATTGCTTTGCGACTGGCCTGCCTCATATCTTCATGTCTATTCTCTACCTATTTGTGCCTCCCATGCTATATCCTATCATCTACTGCATTAAGACAAAGGAGATATGTTGCAGGGTTTTCAAGATGCTCTTCAGGGTCGAGTTCTGACCCTTTGGGATATCTAGAAGCCCTAGATGATCTAGTGTTGGGAGTATAGCCAGACAGACATCAGAGTAGGAATGAATCAATCAGGGGATGCTAGCACTGCACTTAAAGTTCTAGGATCAATGATCAATCATTTAATGTAGTACATTGGGCTAGCACCTGTCAGGATATTTTTTGGGTCCTATCCAGAAATTGACTATGTCTATATCCTCTAGAGGCAATGAAAAAAAAACCAGTCTCTCTTCAAAAATAATCAGGAGACTGTTGACCATCACTGCAGGGTGGGATCATTCTCTGGAGGACATGCAGAGACTTCTGGTTATGGCCCTGTACAACTCTGAAAAAGAGGAAGGGCTAGGAGTAACTATGGAGTATGTATACACAACTACCAACATGCAAGTTTAACATGAGTGGTTGACTTCTGGTGCTGCCAGAAGCCAGGACCTTTGTCACCATGGTGTTTGAAAGGTTTTATAGTTTTGGAGTTAGACAGCTATGCTACTTTAGTAGTCAGAATTAGATTTTAGGATTCCTGGTATGTTTTGTTTTGTTTGCTTTCCCACATAGGAGACTCTGAAATACGTAAGCGCTTCTCTCTACCAACTTAACAGCCTTTACTTATTTCCCTCCTGTGACCCTTCCCTGACCCTCTTATGTCTATCTGCTTTGCCCTGAAGGAATCTGAGCTCCTTAAGGCAGCAAGCTTGTCTTTACTCTTTCCATCCACATTAGACTCACAATGGGCCCTCCATTTAGATAGCAGCTGATGGTGCTAAAGTAATAGTGAAATAATAAGTAAAAAATGGATGAATAAAAAATAATGAATGAACAAGAAAAGGAAATAATGAGTGAACAAAATGAATGAACATATGAACTAATAATGACTTTCCTCAAATCAGGGTTTCATATCAGAAAACGTTTTCTCTTCCTCTGTGCCCTATAATCTCCCCTGTAAGGGGAAGTAAAAAGAGAGGTGAGATCCTGAATAAGTGGAATAATCCTCTCTAGGTCTTAATTTCTTCACTTATAAAAGTGGTACCAATCTTTGATGTATCTTCCTCATAGGTTCATTCTGAAGAGAAAACAAAATAAACTGCTCTAAAAATTGTGCAGTAATATACACGTACAGCTTATTTACTAATACTGTTTTTATTCAATGAGGATAAAAGCAACATTCTTTGTTCAGCTTTAAAATACTACATGCATAAGTCATAGTCTAAAGGAATATTTAGTCTAAGATTTTCCTGAACCTTAAATGAACTGTTTCTACCTGCTTTATGTTCTCACTATACTCTGAATAATCCCATTGTAATCAAGTCAGTTAATGTGGTTACCTTGTGTCCTCCACTGAATTGTAAGCAACTCCTGGGCAGATACCATATGTTATTGTCTTTGTAATCTTCAGCCTCTAACACAGGGCCTTCAATATACCAAACACAAAATTAGTGAGGAATAAATTAATAAATGATTATATTTGCATATAATTATATATCAGCAATCTCTATACTTCAATGAATTATGAAATTCTAAAATATTTTACTCTAAAATGGATTATAATACTATGAAAGAACAATTTTAAAATTAACATTCTTCTGAAATAAAAGATAAGATCATAAGCTGGAGGTAAGAGCAGGGTAAGAGAGGTGTGTAGTTTGAGAAAGAAGAAGTTATAAAATGGGAAATATGGAAGCATCTATGACCAGTACATCGTGTCCGTTACAATTTGTGTTAATTACTGAAGCCACTGAGTTTATTATTTCCTCAAATCTGTTCATATTCTTAGTCACACGAATCTTCCATTAGAGTTTTTAAATTTTCTTAGTCATCTTCCCCTGACCTCAATAGTTGAACCAAGTTATTCCTTTGCTTCAGACTCGGTGAGTTGCTTCACAGGCCTGGTAACGCAGCTATCATTAAGGGCTTTGCCTAACTGCTTTCCTGGGCTGGAATTTTGTTTCCCAGATCACTTGTTTGCTAAAGGTCTTCCTCCTTCATACTTTATTTAGAAAGCTATTTTAAAATTGGATAACATGTTTTTAATTTCTCTATAACTCTGTTTCCCCTCCTTTCCTCAACTGAATGTTGATGTGATTAGACAAGAACTCTCAATTTCCTATCACTAAGCCCAAGTGGGTTTTCTTTCTTCTGCTTATAGCAATGGGGGTAAAGTCCCTGTTCACTTATACTTGCCCCCGCCACGGTCACTCTTCATATTCTTTGTAGGTGGATATCTCACTAATTTCTAACTCACTCTTTAAGCCTTATGAATCCTCCTTGTCTTGCCACTAATTCTGCTTTTCCAATATCATTTTCAAACCTTCATACCTGTGTTTGTGTTGCTATTATCTGTCAGGAATAATTCTTTGTTCTCTGCCTGTCCTGTTTCTTTTGCCTAAGGCTCACTGTATTAATCCCTGTTGCTGCTGTAAGAAATAATTACACAGTGGTCAGCCTAAAACAACTTCTTATATTGTAGTTTCTGTAAATCAGAAATCTAGAACCCTAAATGCTGAGGGTTTCTTAAGCCTGAAATCAAGCTGTTGGCAGGGCTGCATTCCTTACTGGGAGCACTGGGGAAGAATCTGCTTGAAGCTCATTTAGGTTCGTAGTTCATTTTGTTTCTCTTTGATTGTAGGATAATGTTTCCATCCTCTTGCTGGGTATCAGATGACATTTGGCCTTTGCTCCTAACCACATTACTGCAGCTGCCCACGTTATTTCTTGTGCTTTATTTGGTGTCTTCAAGTAACGTGTGTTGAGGGTCTCTAATGCTTTAGATTTCTGACTTATCTGCCACATCTTTCTGTTTCCAGCCTGAGAAAGTTCTGTGCTTTTGATGACTCGTGCAACCAGAAGAAAGGTTGCCCCTAATCTGAGTCAGCTTCCTTTGTTCTCTGCATGTGCTCATCTCCATTACCATTCCAGTGCTCTGCTTTCTATCTGTTGCTCTTGGTTTCTGAAATTCCACCATGCTTTCTGCTTCATACATTGCTTTTTCAGAAAAGATACCCTGTCAGGCTATACTTTGTACGTAGATGCTTTGGTGTGAATAAGCACCACATATATTTTTCAGAAAACTCTCATATCAAGGGGTATATAAATGCACTTATTCTGTTTTAGAAGGCACTTGGCAGGACCCTATTTAGTGTTCAAATACTCCAAATCAGAGGTATCCTTATATTGCATACAGAGGCAAAAAAAAAAAAAAAAAAAAAAAAAAAGTGGAAGACTGCAGGTAGGCCAAACAAAGAGATCCTAAGAATCTGGAATAAAGAAAAAAAATGTATTCTGAGAAAGAAGGGTAGCAGAGTTCTGAGTGCAGATAGAGAAGCAAAGGCAGATGGAAAGTTGCCTTAGAATATTGCAAATTCCCCTCTTTTGTTCTCTCCTAAAAATCTTTCCTGTATTTCTTAACTTTTGAGTAATTGAACTGTTATATTTCCTTAGGAGTCTCTCAAACTAGACTATGAATTGGTATACTTACTCATTTATTCAATTGACAACCAGAAAAAGAAGGGGTGTAGAGAAGCTTTAGACCTCAGAGTTGCAAAAGCTTTTGGTCCTGAAAGATTTTATAACTGTTTACTTTCGGCTGTTCATATTCCCGTTAGGTAAATTTCCTAGCATCTCCAGTTTACAGCAAAGAGTCCAAAACTCAGAAAGTGACTTACCGATACCTCTCCTGGACAAGCCCAGCACTAACCATAGCATAGCAGGGACTGAATAAGAGTGACAGTGGAGTTTTTGAAGCTGGTGAGACAGCAGAATATATAAAATTTATAAAGCTATAATGTAAGGTAGACAGAAGAATGGAACAAAGGAGATACAAGTCTACATCTGTGAGCAGTATGGGGAAGGTACCTCTGTTGACAATGAGTGGTCAAACATGCATGGAGGAGGGCATCCTTGGACCTCAGTCCTGGAAGATGGATTGAATGGGTATATTCATACAGTCTGGGCAACCTTTGGGAGCTGGTGAGCAGCAGGTCACACATAGATGACAGCAAGTAGACTGATCTGTGTGTCTTGAGGTATAAGAAAGATAATTTTAAGAATTGAGGCAAAAAACATTGAGAGAAATACTGACTATAGAGGGTTTTTAATTCTAGGCAGAGTTTGGATTTTATCATTTGATAATGAGAGATCATTTAACAATTCTAATAGGAACAGTGCATTTTCAGATTTGCGTTTAAAAATATTAGTTCTACTTTAGAGATGAATAGAGAGCGGCAAGATATTTATTAGGAGGCCTTTATTATGCTATACTCATGTGATATCTTGAGTCTAAAGAGTGGAACTGCAGGTGGAGTGAAATGGAGGAAGGTGCTGACAGAGGCACTTGGGGTTTGGTCTTTTCATCAGGTCTTACTTGGTTTAATGTAGTAGGTAAAGCAAAAGAAGAAATCAAAGTTACATTTAGATTTAAAATCTCAATCTTGGGCACAATGATGATATTGTTCAAAGAGATAGTGAACACAGATGAAAAGCAATTCTGTGGTGTAGAGAAATGATTATTAACCCCAAGGGCATTTAGAAGCTAGAAATGATTTGGTTATAAAATAAATTATTAAAAACTTACTTTAATCAAATTAAATTAGAGAGCAAAGTGATGCCTCAAGCTAAATGGATAAAAGAATGAAAAAGTGGATGGTAATATAAAAGTCTAATGTACCTTGATGAATGTCTGGAAGATTATCTCCACGAATGAACATTTCCCTATCCATTTATCTTTTGTCCAGATGAATGGATAAAATAATTTAACTGAGAGACTGTATAGGAGCAGGGAAACTGAGAGTAGTGGAAGTTCATTAACATGAAAGAATGCAAAGAGGAAATTATTATTGTTCGTGAATAAGTGATTTCCTCAGGAAGACAGCATAATTGTTGAAAAAGTAGTAATTGGAAAGAAGAGTTTTTGTCTTAGGTCTTGAACAAATTGATACCCATGAATTGAAGAGTTCAAAGCTTTAAATGTGACAAAGAGCCCAATAGAGGCAGGTGAAAAGGAGGGCAAATGGACCTGTCTTGCCAGCCAGATAAGCTGAGACAACCCAGGCCATTCATGAAATCTTGGTAAGTAGGAGAGGCAAGGATAGATAGTCTGGTGAACTAAATGTATTAATGCAATAAATTATGGGACTTGATAGTATGTGGGGGTCTTAAAATGTTAGGCAGAAACCATGGATAAAACTGTATATTTGTCTTCTTTACAGGATAGTGGCCCTAGAATCTAAGCAGGAGTTCCAGCATGAGAGGTACTTCCCACAACAGCTCAGGGTTTCCTCATTTCATCTTGACAGGACTCCCTGGGCTGGAGACCTCTCAACACTGGTCTTTTTTGCTCCTTGGTGCTCTCTACATTGTCTCCATTGTGGGCAATGCCCATATCCTTTTCATTATCAAGAAGGAGTGGAGCTTGCACCAGCCCATGTACTACTTCCTATCCTTGTTCTCAGTTAATGATCTAGGTGTGTCTTTTCCCACACTACCCACGGTTCTGGCCACATTTTCCTTCCACTTAAGGGAGATCAACTTTTATTCTTGCTGGCCCAAATGTTCTTTATCCATCTCTTTTCCTTTGTGGAGTCTGGCATCCTGCTGGCCATGAGCTTCGACCGCTATGTGGCCATCTGTATCCCGCTGCGCTATGCCACAGTGCTCACTGATGCTCGTGTGGTGCATATGGGCATGTCCATTATTATCCGCAGTTTCTGCATGGTTTTCCCACTGCCTTTCCTTCTGAAGAGATTACCCTTCTGCAAGGCCAATTTCCTCTCCCATGCCTACTGCCTGCATCCAAATCTGATCTGCCAGCCCTGTGGCGACATCACCATCAATTGTATGTATGGTCTATTCATCGTCATCTTTACCTTTGGCCTGGATTCTGCCCTCATCCTCCTCTCCTATGTGCTCATACTCTGCTCTGTACTTGCCATAGCCTCCCGGGAGGAGCGATTAAAGACTCTTAACACCTGTGTGTCACACATGTGTGCTGCGCTCATCTTCTATGTGCCCATGGTGTGTGTGTCTATGGCTGCTCGGTATGGGAGGCATGCCCCATGGTATGTACACACACTCATGTCCCTTATCTATCTCTTTGTGCCTCTGATGCTCAACCCTGTCATCTATTCCATTAAGACCAAACAGATTTGTCAGAGGCTTTGCAAAATACTACTGGCAACCAGGATTTGAGCAGGAGACTTGTTGAAAAGAAGAGATTCAGAGGATGTTTATCCTTACTCCGCAAATTTGAGTTTTCAAGACCTGCTTCAACAGGGCATTTTAAATATCCTTTAGGGCACTGACCTTCCATTAGGATTCCAGCTATCAGTTGTTGCATCCTGGCAACAGTTAAGTCTAAACCTAACAGGTTTTGCCAAGTTAAATTGGGCTATAATTTTTTTAAAAAAGTAATTGCTTAATTTCCTTCTTTTTAAATCCAAGAATATGCATTCTCATAATTAATCCTTCATCTTGTCACAATATGTTGCTATTATCTTTTGTTTAATGTGAATCATCAGAAAGGAAATTACTGATTACCATGGATACACTGTCGTAATGGGGGAAGGATTCTTTTGCCAAGTATTATGTCAAAGAGATATTAGTTAAAATCACACACACACACACACACACACACACACCCCACAACCCAATAACTATGCATGCCACTGTTTATTTCATATAACATGCACCATCCACTTAGTGTTTAAAAATGATATAAGTGTAATTGCATGTAAATTATATTAAATTATTTAAAATTAAGTAATATTAAAAGTTGGTGAAGTTTGTAGGATAATTTATATTGTATGTCTGTGTGTATAGTAACAGAGAATTAAGAAAATAATAAAGTAGGAAGACTATTTGGTCAAACATGACATACATATATATATCTTTAGAGAGAGATTTACATATATATGTATGTTTGTATATGCATATATATATATATATATATATATATATATATATACGTGTAGGATTAAATTAATTACTATTTTTTAGAAGAAATTCTTTTTTCTTTTTTTTGAGATGGAGTCTCGCTCTGTTGCCCAGGCTGCAGTGCAGTGGCACAATCTCAGCTCACTGCAAGCTCTTCCTCCCGGGTTCACATCATTCTCCTGCCTCAGCCTCCCGAGTAGCTGGGACTACAGGCACCCGCCACCATGCCCGGCTAATTTTTTGTATTTTTAGTAGAGATGGGGTTTCACCATGTTAGCCAGGATGGTCTCGATCTCCTGACCTCATGATCCACCGGCCTCAGCCTCCCAAAGTCCTGGGATTACAGGTGTGAGCCACTGTGCCCTGCCAAAAGAAATTCTTTAATACAACTCATCACATTAATGACTGAAATAATAAAAACTATGTTGGCAATAGCCTTCAGAAAAGATGAAACCAAAATGTGTTTTATGTAAAAATAAAGCAATTTTTTCGGTGTATTTTCTTAACTTGTCAGATCATATACTTTATGGTTAAAATAAAATAATTTGTCTCTACTTTTTAAAACTATAATTATTTATCATTTATTTGTAGGAATCCTTGACCAATGTAGTAAAACTTGAGACAGGAGGAGCTATTTTACCTTATCCCTTTATCTGTGATTGAACACTAAATCCTGACAACTCTGATTAGACTTTGACTTACCCTGTCTCTGTGTCTATATCACCACTGTTGCTACCTTATTTGGGGCCTTCATTATCTCCTGTCACTTCACATGGCATTGTCTTCCAAACTGATCTCGTTGTTTACCCATTCCCTTTTCTCCTTTTTCCATACCACAACTATAGAGATCTTCTAAAGAGTCTATCTGATTATAAAATGTGTCATACCCTTTAGTTTCTCATTGCCTAAAAATCAAGTCCCTTAGCACATCTCTTAATATTATCATCACAGCAAGTGTCTTTTATGCCTTATTATTATTAATCATTTTCCCCACCGCATAATAATTTGCTCTAGCTATACTAAACTGCATGTGGTTCCTGAACCAACAGGCTGCTTTATGCTTCTGTAGTTTTGTTCTAACAGCCTCTATTTAGAAATTCTTCTCCACACTCATGTGCCTAAAAACTGTACATCAGTCTATTTATTCATCAAAATAATATTTATTAAACAGATACCCTGGGTCAGGCACTGACTCAGCTTTTGGGTTATCCACTCTATGAAACATTTCCAGCCCTTCATTTGCTATGAGCCCTCTATCTACCTGCTTCTCCTCCCTCAAAAAGCGATAAAACATATATTCTATTATTTTTATGCTTTATTTTTTGTGTAGAATTATAATACAGCATTTAGAAACCATTCTGTCCTTTTCTGTTTACTGCATATAGCTGTTTATGTGAATTACAAGCTTCTTGAAAGAATGAATTATTTTGTTAATATTAGAATAAGTGCAAATTTTTTGAAAGGCATATCATGGCCTTGGAAAATTCCAAAATCTCTGAGACTCAATCATTTCTAAAATTGAGTTTTTAAAATGACTAGATTGTTGGGTTTTTATAAAGTCTCAAGATAATGTATGTAAGATGGTTGATATACTGGTTAGCATATAATACGTACTCAATTTAAAAAAAAACTTTTATAGTAACCAGATTTTTATCTTTTAGAATTTAGCATTGTAAGATTACATATTAAATTTCAATAAATACTTATAGAATGGATAAATTAATGTGACTATTTTGTCATTATTCACAAATAATATTATGGATCAAGAAAACACAAAGGCTTAAATGTAAATATTACTGAAAATTGATAAAATTTGCCAAATATGATAGAACAATATGAAACTATTAATTTCTGAAATACTGAAAAGTTTTTAACCCACCTTGAGTTAATTGTTGTATAAGGTGTAAGGAAGGGATCCAATTAGAGCTTTCTGCATATGGCTAGCCGGTTTTCCTAACACCATTTATTAAATAGGGAATCCTTTCCCCATTGCTCAACAAAATAATTTTAAAGTTAGTTTGAAATTCTTATACAAATGAGACTGTCTGCCCTCAAAAGCTTTAAAAAAGTCATACAATGAGAACAGAAATATAGTAGACCTCCCAAGTGTTAAAATGTGAATATAAAAACAAACTGTATTAATTAAAATAGAACATGTCCTGCCAGAATGGATTTCTAGCTCAGGATAGCTGAAAGGATTGTATAAACCATGTAAAAGAATATTTTCAAATAAAGTACATATTATCAAATAGCATTATAGATGCTGACTTTTGTTTTGGATAAAACACTACCATATCATGTCATTGCTAAATATTTGTACTTTTGTATAGAACAAGTATTTTGAAGGATTATCACAAATTTTGTTAGTATCTGGTTAGTGAGATTTGGGAAAATGAATTTTCTACTTTTCTACAAAAAAAATTAGGTTTGTAATAAACTGAGACAGAAAGAGGACAGATTTTTAGATGAATGCCAGCAACTAAGAGTTATCTGAGAGCTTCAAGGAGGTGAGCCTCAAAGGGAGCAGTTGGAGTGTTGGTGCCCGCTGGTTCCCCTCTGAGGTGCTTTCCAAGTGCACCTTTGTGCTCATCTCAAGGGATAAGTGTTTCTCTTTCCTGTCAGAGCCATTTTCTTCAGCTGTGACTGTTGGCTGCGAAGTGTCCACCTTCACTACCGATGGGGCCCCAAAGAGGCTCATCTTCCCCGGCACTCAGGGAATTCAGTATGCAGTGGGAACAATCATAGTTTCACTCCCTAGCTCCCTCTTCACCAGAAGGCTGTGTTAACCAGAATGTTTTCTCTGTTGTCAAAGGACAATATCAGGTAACTAATCTGAAATGAAATAGCAGGACACTTTATATATATAAGGGCTGATATCAGTACTACTAATTTCACCCGATCTCTTCATTTATCTGGGCCAGTTAGAACTGTCATTTAAAATCTCTGATGCTTATTTTAATGGCAGCTAACTAATACAAATAATAACATTTCTTTTTTTTTTTTACTTTATTAAGATGTAATTGATATACAAAATATTCTGCATATTTAATGCCTACAAGTTGATGAGTTTGAAGATAAGTATACAGCCATGAAACCATCACCACAGTCCATATCATAAACATATGCATCACCTCTAAAAGTTCCCACTCTATTTATTTACTTATGGTGATAAGAACACTTATGATAAGATCTACTCTCTTGGCACATTTAAAAATATTCAATAATTCTTATAGGCACTATTTTGTACAGTAGATCTTTAGGACTTATTCTTCTTGTTTAACTGAAACTTTGTACCCTTTGACAAACACCTTGCTGTTTTTTGATGGTGTCTAACGTGCTCAGTAAACTTTAAAGGATATTTTACTCATTTATCTATTTAACTTTGTAGCATATCAGCAAGCCAATGATATAGGTAAAACATTATTCTTATTTTACAGCTGAAGACACTGAGGTGCAAAGAACAGATTAAGTAACTTGTCTAGGATAACACCACTAGAAAGTCAAAGAACAGGAGGTAAAACTCATATAGTCTAACTCCCAAATCCAAGACTGTATTATTTTGGGTTGGTGACATCACTGTGAAAGGCCTTACAGTTTTTTCCTTCCTCTTATTGGCTTATTCACGGTAAATTCATTTAATACTGAGGATCTTAGTTTAACCTGGAAATCCAAGAAATGCTAAATCACAAAGGAGGCTCATTCTTTCATCCAGTAACTATTTGTTGAATACCTAAACATGTCAGACCCCTTCAGCATTAAGAGAATCCTTGGAGCGTGAGGAACAAAGGCACTTACCCTCTGAATGCCCCATTGTGGCCATACAGCATATTAGTTAAGAGTACTTAGGTTCAAATGCTAGTGTTGTCAGTTGGGTGTTTTGTGACTGTAGATAAGTTATTTATCTCAGAGTGGCTTCATTTTGATATGTAAAATATGAATCTGTATCATAATGTAATTGTAAAATTTAAATGAGTTTATAGAGTTAGTCAACACATAAAGTTCTCAATAAGTATACATGAATGCTATTAGTGGGGGGAAATAGTTATAATCCAATGAGATAAGATGTCATGTTCTGTCTGTGGTATCCCAGAAAATGATTCTCTAATACAGCCTATAGAGCTGGAGATTTCTCTACTGCACATGAACTTGGATTAATGAAAGTAAAAAGGTGAGTAAATCACTTTACGAAGATTTTATATGAGGAATGAAGAGAAGGTTTGGATTGGAATTTGGTTTCATCTAAAAAGAATCAAGACTCCAGTGTGGCTCATGCTACAAGATGGTACTGTGAGGCTGCTATGAATCTAGATACAATGAGAAAGAAACATAGGTTGAATAGGTGTATGCAAGTCACATGTACCTTACCATGTGATTCATCCAATTTTGCAAAAGGTTACAGAAAGATCGCTGGTGCTGTTATGCTGATGGTGCTGGTTATGGTAAAAATATTAGTTGTATGCCTAATGTTTGCTAAACATCATGCTGGGTGCATTGAATATATTAAGGAATAAGGGAGATGGTCATGTTTCATGGAATTTACATAATAACATAGAAGAAAGGAATTAAGTGCATAATTTTCCATTTACCTTAGATCATTTAATCACAACTCTGCAAGATATTAGAAAAGATCACTGGAGAATGCTATATAAGTATCTATTAGTAGATCCTCTTCCAGGCTAAGGGGTTAGGGGGATCCATAAGGCAATAATATTTAAGCCAAGAGTTGGAGGATAAATAACTAGCCCTGTGAAGGAGAAGTGCATGGAGAAAAGCTTTCAGGACATGTGAAACAGCATTTGTTAAGGTATTGAGGTTGGAGTAATCCTTGCATCTTCAAGGAACTGAAAGGAGGCCATTTTGGTTGGAACAGAAAGAACAAGAGAACAATAGTATAACATAAAGT